AGCAGGCAAAGTTTGGGATACCTTTTCTAATCCGCTCCTCTCCCCATGGAGGTGAGCAGTGCGTTCCTAAAGAGGGCTGCTCAGTCGCACATGTGGCTGCCGACCTCCAACGCTGCTCCGGTTGGTGAAGAGCGACCATATGGCCTGTGCCGCCTCTGTGCAGGTCTGCGACTACCGACTTCCAGTGAACCCGCACCTGTCACCTTCGTTGCTCGCCTGTCGCCACAGGGCTTTGGGGTGGATGATAGAAGGGATGGAAGATGATCAATGACTTGCGCGATGAGTTTGATTAAAATGAAGAAGGGTTGCGCGTCGTTGACCTCACTCTCTCGCCCGCAACCATCTAGATCTGTGGCAAGACAGATGTCAGGACATCTGGAGATGAAGACAGATACAGCGAATGACCAAGACGTGCTATATCTGCCTTGCCTTGCTCCAAGCATTCCACGGTGCTTGCTGTGTCCGCCTTCTTCTCCGTTGAACCATGACGGTTTCCTCCGCAGAGTCCGCCGGTGCACAGTCTTTACATGGGTTATAGGTAGGCAAGCCCTCAATCAACAGGGTTTGAGACCCGTCGGCGCTTAGGGTAGAGAGTGCTTTCCTAGAGGGATCTCTCTTAAGAGTGTACGGGTTCCCTCTACCCGGACTAGTGGAGGGAAGGGGCGTTAGGCCATTGCAGGTGTTGAGACACAGCCCACAAAGCACATATATGATTGTGCACATATGTTGCTTAATTTTGATGTCAAAAATATATAATATATTACACGTTTAACTTAGATGAACATTCAAGTGTCCATTATCACCATGGTTTAGCATGAGATTAAATAAATAAAACATTTTACGTAAAGGTTCTACTTGAGATCTGACATATTCACAATATCTTTGTTAAGTAGATAAAGAATATACGTACAGAGTATATCAAGGGAATTTTCCTTCATTTTTCATTTTTAGGATAGGGATCTAAAGATTTACTATTAAATCAAGTTACATGTATATATATTTGTTACGGAAATAATGTTTTGAAATGCTAATACGTGATAATTTTTTTTTTAATGAAATGACCATGCAATATGTTTTTGGTGTGAAAATTGTCACAGTAGTAATTTCTTTCCTTTGATCAAAATTCCAAAATTGCGTATTCCGCTTTTATGATCAAGGGTAGAATTATATTCCTATATAATTTAGACGGCTCATTACAGAGCCAATATTGAATAATAACTGAACAGGGTAATAGCATGGTCTGCATTCAAAAGAATTTTCAAGAAAATCATCCGAAATAAGATAGAAATTGCGTATTGAAAAACCAACCTTCTTCTTTCAAAGACACAGCTGAGAGAACGAACAAGTTGGGTTGTTGTATATGAACAGTTGATACACCATTAAAGCCACAATCAATTGAATGCTATCATACATTTTCTGAAGGTAGAGATATATGTCCTTCAAAAATTAACTATGAAAATTATTCACCCGAGATGGTACCGATACCGAAAAATTCATGGCCTGGCTCATGGACTATGAGGGGAATGGGAGAGTTTTTAGGTCACCTGAGTAAACTCATGTGACCTATTTCTATCCGTTTTTGTCCGTCGTCGTGCGTCGTGCGTTAACATTTGAACATTTTCAGCTTCTTCTCTGCAACCACTCAAACAATTTCAACCAAATTTGGTATAACGCATCAATGGATAAAGGGGAACAAACTTTGTGAATTTCATGGTCCCTGCCCCGCTGGGGCCTGTGGGTGGGGCCAAAACCACTAAAATTAATGCAATCTTTAAAAATCTTCTTCTTTACTCCTGGACATCAAGAAGTCAAACTGTCTGCATGATTGTAATCAGCATTGAGTCCTCTACCAAAATTGTGAAATTCATGGCCCTGGGGTCAGGGCTTCTAGTGCTAGGGCGGAGCTAAATAGAGTATATAGTGAAAATACATTATTTCTTTGAAAATCTTCTTCTCTGCTCCTGGGCATTGAATAAACTAAATGAGTACATAGTTATATTGAATAAGGCTGCCTCTTCCAAAATTAAGAATTTCATGGCCCCAGGGTCAAGGGGCTTAAGTGCTAGGGCGGGGTTATATAGATTATATAGTGAAAATGCATTATTTCTTTGAAAATCTTCTCTGCTCCTGGGTATTTCATAAATAAACCAAATACATAGTTATGTTCAATAAGGCTGCCTCTTTCAAAATTAAGAATTTCATGGCCCCAGGGTCAAGGGTTCTTGGGTGCTAGGGCGTGGCTATATAGATTTTATAGTGAAAATGCATTATTTCTTTGAAATTCTTCTTCTCTGCTCCTGGGTATTTCATAATCAAACCAAATACATAATTATATTGAATAAGGCTGCCTCTTCCAAAATTGTGAATTTCATGGCCCGGGGTCAAGGGTTCTTAGGTGCTAGGGCGGGGCTAAATAGAATATATAGTGAAAATGTATTATTTCTTTGAACATTTTCTTCTTTGCTCCTGGGTATTTAATAAACAAACCAAATACATAGTTATGTTGAATAAGGCCACCTCTTCCAAAATTGAGAATTTCATGGCCCCAGGGTTAGGGGTTCTTAGGTGCTATGGTGTGACTATATAGATTATATAGTGAAAAAGCATTATTTCTTTGAAAATCTTTTTCTTTGCTCCTGGGTATTTAAACAAACCAAATACATAGTTATGTTGAATAAGGCTCCCTCTTCCAAAATTATCAATTTCATGACCCGGGGTCAGGGGTTCTGGTGTTGGGTGGGGCTCTATTGATTATATAGTGAAAATACATTAATTCTTATCTCCTCCTCTGCTCCTGAGTATTAACCAATGATCAATGTACATAGTTATGATGAGGAAGGATGCCTCTTCCAGATTTGTGAATTTCAGGGCTCCTGGGATGGGGATTCTGGTGTTAGGGCGGGGCTCTAATGATTATATAGTGAAAATGCATGAAATCTTTTCCTTTGCTCCTGGGTATTATGCCAGTATTAAGTACATATTAATGATGATGAAAGGTGCCTCTTCGAAAATAGTTAATTTCACGGCCCCTTGGTCAAGGTACTTGGGGTGGGGGTTACATAGTCTGAAAATAAATTAATGCTTTGAAATCTGCTTTTTGGTATTAATCAACCATTTATGATGAAATAAAATTTATGATAAAAATTTCAGAATTTTGAAATATGTGCCCCCAGGGTCAGTGGTTCCTAAGGGGTGGGTGCACAACTGATTATAAAGTGGAAATGCATTTTCTCTTTGTTACTCCGAACTTTCTCTGGGTATTAGGTAACCAAAGTAAGCAAGCTAAGTGTATAGTTATGATAGGCAATAGTGCCTCTTTCAAAATTTAGAATTTCATGGCCTTTGATTTAAAACACGAACCAGTTCAATTGTTGGAAAGTTGTTATATGATACTCAGGTGACCTATGAGGCCCGTGGGCCTCTTGTTTTTTATATCTTATATGGGCCTTGTAGTTAAAAATGTACAAAAGACTGTATGCAGAAAAAATGATTAAAACAGAGATTTCTTAAATCTTAATTGATCTGTAAAAATTAAGAATAACGAACGTCTACTTCATTATAATTTGTACAATACCATATGGATCATATGTTCATTAATTGACATTTTCTTTCTCATCAAGTTCATTTCTATATACAAGTATTTCGAGTTCGTTGCCAGGAAGCTCTCGGCAAAAATGTACATTTATTGGTTAATTAATTTTCAGTTAAATTTACAAATAGTCTTTCGATAAATACATATTATATTCATAATTCATAACTTACAGTTTTATCAATTGTTTTTCAATAATAAAGTTCTTACAATAATTAATCGATTGCTTGTTGTCATTTTCATTACACAGTGCACGGTCAGTAACTTAGATCCGCCAATCGCATCCACCAAACTACTCTGTTTTTGTTTTGTTTTTCTTTTGCTATTTCAAGGCATAGTATCGAATCAGAAAGACTTTTACTAGTAAATGAATTTACAAAAATTGGTATACAAATAAAATATGAATACACTATAGTTTACGGACATCATATTATATGCAGTTTAACATTGCAGATAAAGTATGAAGTACAAGCGTTTCGGTGTTAATTTAAAAATTAATTTATACGTACTTGTATACATATACTGTAAATAACAATTTATTCGCGAGAACTTAATTACGCGAGACTGTTTGTTCGTGAAAATATCTATCTCGCATATAATTTAATTGTGCGATATCAACTCATTTTCTAAGAGTTATTACGGAGAAATATTTAAATAATAAAATGCTTTATTTCATTGTTAATACGGAATCAATGGTTGTTCCATCAGTTATGCATACAATGACATATTCATCTTAAATACAATATTTAACAAATTTAATTTTACTTTGAATGGTTTTTCATACAGATATAAAAGTTAACAATAAAATGCTTTCTTTGGTTGTTAGTACGGGAATTAACGTCGCGGCTGTTGCAGAAAAAACACATAACCCGCGTAAAGTAAAATTAAAATTGTTAAATATTGTCTTATAGATGAATATGCCACTGTAAGCAGTTAACTGATCGAACATGCAGCCATTGTTCAAGAATTCTATACATGCAGATGGCATGTTTTAGAGTCGTTTATAGACTGGTTTACGGCAATGGTCTTCATCAGAAATAAAGAAATAATATTCAGTGGATGTAAATATAATACTATAAAATACTACCGTGCGGAAATTAAGTATGGTTTTTGTGTGTCATATTTTGTGTATTTATTATGAGAACTTATTTAGAAATGAAAAAAAAACTAAACTAAACAATTTCTTCAGCTTAATAATATTTATACTTCAAAAATGCAATATTAGGAAACGTACGTACATTTATTTACTCGCGAAACACTATCCCTGATCCATTGTTATCAATACAGAGCTTTATCATCACATCAGCCATTCCGCTCGAAATTTAAATTTTCATTAAGATTAGTATCATATTTATGATGCACGACTGATGATAATGTAGTGGCTATATAAACCATTGGATCCTAAACCGCCATCAGAAATCCAAAAATGGAGCTCCTGGTTAGACTGATCTATTTAGCTAGCCTGTTGGCGGTTGGTGAGCCTCATGGGTACATGATTGAGCCCCCAATGCGATCCTCCATGTGGCGAGTCTACCCGGGATTCCCCCCTAATTACAACGACATGGAACTCTTCTGTGGGGGTGTAACGGTAAGGTTTTATTTGACGAAAACCGTCAAGTGAGTGCCGTAAAAAATACCCCCCCCCCGTTCCATTGCTTCGCTGTTTTTATCTTTTTCTTCGTGTCGCAGTGGTTAGAGTGCTCTAGAGTCACGAAGTAAGGAGTTGATCTATACGTCGCGGGTTCGAATTCCATTGTGGGACGTGGAGACCGGTCCTTCGGATGAGACCGTATAAACCGAGGTCTCGTTTCGCAGTAAGTGCTGGCATGAAAAAGATCCCTCCCTGCCGAGTGCCGAGTGTAGGACAAAATTTGCAGCTCTCCACCGGCAAGTGGTGGCGTCTACATATGAGTGAAAAATTCTCGAGAGGGACGTTAAACAATATAAAATCAATCAATCTATTTCCTCGATTTTAAGAACTTTAGAGGAAAAGTTAGAAATGTAAGTCAGATGCAATTTAATTATATATACTCGCTTTTAAAAATATGTACACGTGGTATAGATAGATGTAAACGTGATTCATTTACATTTAAATATGGTTTGCAAAATTAAGCATCTAATGTAGCTACAAGCTATAAATTTAGCCGTAATGATGAGGTATGCTTATTTTCACATAAAATTATCTTGTATAACTAATGTTTGTACTATTAAACAAAAGGAAAAACATAAAATATGAAACCAGAGTATGTAATTATAAGGACAGTGGTTATCCTATGCTAGGAATGAAGATTAGGCTGACGGTGTTAAGAAATAATTACGTAGAAAAAAAACCCAGCTTGATTTCTTTTAGCATTAATTGTGTTGGGTAAAAATTATACTGGCTTTGGTACGAATGTGGTTTGTAGTTTATATTAAAAATTCTTATGCGAGAGAGAAGAATCCTTCATAACCCCAACCATATTAATTCCAACCTGGGACCTAATTTTTGAACAACCTAATTCTTATAAACTTAATTAAATGGGTTGAACTGATGCGACTCTCCGTCTCACTCAGAGAATACAGAAGCAAGCTCTTCTGCAAGGTTTACATTTATTTTCATATGTCAGCCATTTACTAACTTTATAATCACATCCCTTGGCCTTTTGTAGGCAAAGGTTTCTTACAAAATAACATTATCTCAGAGTAATGACAATGTACTATTTTACTCTGAACAAATAAATCTAAAAATAAATATTAGATATTTCAGCGACACGATTTCAGTGACCATGTAGGTACAAAATAATTGCATGGATCGTCGGTTTTATCAGTATAATTACTTTATATAAGTAAGAATGAAGGTTGTGAAATTCTAGTTATTTGTGTCGTATTGTTATATTTTTGTTCTATTTTAATGCAAGCGACTTCAGGAATGTCATTGTATACAACATTCGGACACACAAGTGTTCTTTTTTAAAGCCTGCTTTTCTTTTGTTCTATTTTGATGCAAGTGACTGCAGGAATTTTGGTATCATGATGTATCATATTCCACATTCTAACATACGATGAATTTTGGTATCATGATGTATCATATTCCACATTCTAACATACGATGAATTTTGGTAACATGATGTATCATATTCCACATTCTAACATACGAGCAAACCAATAATATTATTCAATGTAAAAATGGTCTTCAATTTTTCTACAAGCAATTTCTTACTTTATCATATAGTACCCAAAAAAATTCAGGTTAGGAAAAAAATGTCTAAAAAAAATCATAAACATCTTGTAAATGGAATGCAATTGCAAATTTCAATTTTTCCAATTTGTTTTTAAAATTATAACAAATATATTTTTAAAAAGTGTAAAGATGGTATTAAAATTTATTTTCATTTGTCAATAAATACTTCAACAACGCTATCTAATTTATAAGCTTACTCTTGAACATGTAAAAAGCTTGACGAGGGCACGGGAAATAAAAGAGGGTAAGCTTAAAGAAAGTCATCTTTTTAACAATTTACTTATTGTTTGTGTTCCTCTCAAACTGATCCAAGCATATTAGTTAAAAAAATTATCAAAGTTTGTTATTTATTAATATTTCTTTTTTTTTTTCAAAAAACATAAAACAACTCATGGGCTATATTAATGTATATTAAAATGCTATAAAGAAAAGGTTGTAGATCCAGTATATCGGGTTAATTCGGTTGTATTACATGTATATCGATATGACAAAACTATTATAGAAAATGAAAGAAATGAAATGAAACTTAAGGGGAGAAAAATCACCTTTTGATGATTGTTAAGAAAATCCGTATTTGGAAATAAACACTGTATACATGTAATTATAGATCTTTCTCCTTTTCCCTGTCATTATAGAAAAAAATGTTATGAATTTTCATATGGAAAAAGCTTAACATATACAATCATTGTTCTCTGAAGTAAGCGATATATTCCTCTTATTTTAAATTTTAGTACATTTTCACAGAAAGTCATAAAATGTAATAATTACGATGAATCAGCCCCAAGCATTAATTTTTCAGATTGGAAATAAACAGATACTGATCTGTAATTATAATTTGACGTGTATCAGGATTTTATCGGAGTTGGTAATTAAAAAATCGCCGCAGAGTACAAGATCGTCCACATATACAGCGAAATGTCCCCTGTCCCTAGACATTCCGCATGTTAATTTTCTCGCATTTGTTCCCTAAATTTAGAAATTTTATTGCTACCATCAACATTTGTCCAATTTTGTGCGCAGAAAATCCCACATTTTTTTTCTTAAAATAGGTCTATATAATAAAATCTTCAAATGGTTGCATCTTGTGTGCCTTCTTAAAAGCACTTTTAATGGATATGATTAGCTCTTCAACAATCGCATTAAAAAATAAATAACATTTTAAAGAGTAACGAAAAAGTCGACGGAAAAGTTAGAGATAAAAAAATCTTATTCAGTAACACACACACATATATTAAAACTACATGTTGAAGAAGCTATATACAGCTGCAAATACTTATGTCAAGTTTACTGCATCTGAATGTATCTGAAGTGCAAACTTTCCGGAAAATTTTTTCAATAAATTGTTTATGAAAATGGATGCATAAAAAATTTCACTCAAAATATTAAGAATAATAAACACAATGATATTTGCATCTGTGTGATTTATGGTAGTTCTGAGTCAAATGAAAAAAAAGTCCTGGCAATAAAATTTTTGAATCTTGATTTTCCTACAACTGTGAAAAAAGTTCAGAATTTTGATTTCCACGGGGGAAGGGAAGGGGTTAAAAATGTTTTTGAAAAGAGTTCGGCATTTTTCACAGTGGCCCGGTCATACAGTATTTTGGTTAAAAAACTGGATGTATCCTGTGGGTGTGCTTATAGATTTTTACCCTGTGGTTGATTTGAGGTTTAAACATTTTTGTAAAATATAGTTATATTTAGCTTTTTCCCTTGTTACCAAAATACGAAGGTGATTACATTTAGAGGTAAACACCTATAAACACCTTGGGTATAACCGTCTTATGTAATTTTCAGATGTAGACACTATATATCAGTATACATTGATTAAGATTTCTAAACTGTATTTAATAGCCGTTGTTTTTAACATGTTGTCTTATCAAATATGGATAAGGTCCATATTTTATTAAATTTTGACATCACCTTGTGTGAATGGTCCTTTGTATATGCTTAGAAACAATGGGATGAAATGGATGGAAAATGTGGAACTTGTGGCGATGCTTACGACGCAGAAGTTCGTGAAAACGAGGCTGGTGGAATGTATGCTACAGGCGCCATTGGTCGAAATTACACACGTGGACAAGTAATCAAGGTAGACCACCCAATACTTTAGGGAACTTTTAAGGGAAAAACGTTTGATAGATATAAAGTTTTCTTAATAATTGGATTAAACAGTGGTTCAATCGATCTTTCCATGTTTTGTGCTTTATTTATTTATTTGATTTAATTACTGGTACTTAAATTGAAAGATGAAAGATAAAAAGTAAGTATTTATTATTATAGAATCTTAGGAAACATTCATCTGTACTGTTACAGGTTGGAATTCAACTAACAGCATCTCACTTAGGCAACTTTCAGTTCAAAATTTGTCCTCATAACAACCCAACCGTGCGAGTTTCTCAAGAATGCCTTGATCAACATAGACTTAATTTAGCGGGAACCGATGAGCATCACTTCTATCCGAAGGATACCGGATTTTACGAAATAGAACTTCAGCTTCCAGAAGACATGGTCTGTTCACAGTGTATCCTTCAATGGCACTACACAGCTGGTAAGAGAACTCACAACACTTAAAATTCGAAGGAACAAATGGGTTATCTAGCGCCAATTAGTAGACAGATTAGTAAATGGATAATTTTGGGCCACTTTGCCAAATTTATATATTTCACTAGTATCAAATGCAAATGATATATACATAAATCATATAAGTAAGTTTATTAAACAAAACTAGTTATAGGCAAGGCTGAAAAATGCAACAGTTTATCATAAAAAAATATCTACCACAAAATGTTTCGAAGTCATGGGATACATAAGTAAAAAATATGGAAACCTCCAAATTTTATGCAAATTTTCATCGATTTTACGGCACATTTTGTTTTCCAACCTAGCCAAATTTATATATTTCACTTATATCAAATGTAAATGATATATACATAAATCTCAGATAGGCAAAATGTAAAAAATATCTCAAATTTGACGAAATTCCACCAGAATTAAAGAAATTCGGGAAAATGTCTTATTTCTGCGCCCTTTTGTGGTCTCCGCGTAAGCTTTGGATCAAAATCAGTGCTGGTTGTAAAACAGGCATAATTTTGAGTTCTTAACTACAAAACTACAACAATTTTAACTGCATTCTGATTTTTACATCAAATAAGGGACCAGATTCGGCCTTTACCATGCATTGTCCTTTGTTCATATACATGTACTTTACTATATTATTCCACTGTATAATTAATACACTACATCAGGAGTTGACAATATTTCTTCGTTACTTTTTTAAAATGTATAACAAAGAATCAAGATTACTATGCATCAGTTTAATTTATAAATTCCAAACGAACAAAAAAGTGTGAAATCGTAATAACAGTGCACAATTTTATCCCTTCTTGTCAAATTGATAAAGTACCACTATAAATATGAAATTAAAATCCGTAACAAGATAAATTGTTTTATGATTAAAAAAAAAGTTTATTAAGAGTTTTATTTAGATCTAAAGTTAATCATTAACATCACGTTATACTTCGTATACTATTCATATCGTGATTAGGTAACACATGGGGCTGTACAGAGGACGGAGATTGTTGTCTTGGTTGTGCCTCTAAACAAGAGACATTCATTAACTGTGCAGATGTTACCATCTTCGACAACGACGAGACGGTTCCTTCCACCTCTGCACCATCCACTGAAAAACCTACAACCAAAGCCCCTGAAACCAACGCTCCAACGACCCCTGCCCCAACCAATGCCCCAACAACACAAGCTCCAACGACTCCTGCCCCAACAACACAAGCTCCAACGACTCAAGCCCCAACTGAGGCCCCTACAACAACTCTGCCAACACACGAGACAACATCTGCTGAATCCGTGTTGATGGACTGCCCACCTGATTATACCTTGATGTGTGACGGCGTGGGAGATTTGGCGGGAGACCTTACTCGACAGCAGTTCTGTAACGACCACTGCCGAAAGAAGACATCCACGTGTACCTCAGAGTTCTGTACATGTACATGTCAGAAGATATCCTGCAAGTCGATTGGTCCGTTCGAGGGGTCGAGGACCCATGACGACTGGTGTCAAATGATGTGTACACAAGATTTCAACGGCTGTCCAGAACTTAGCAGCGAGTGTGAATGTACCGAAGATGCTTAATGCTACTATTGTATAGCTTCAGGATTGAGTCTAATTAAATCTTATTTAATATATACATGTTTTTTTTCTGACCAATGAATTATTATTGATATCATCATAGTAAATCCGGAAGAAATACTAATAGTCCTCTGAACTTGTCTCTGTCTAATGAACGACATGCTGGTATATTCTAGAAAGACAGGCAAGTAATATGGGGAGGGTGGCTCCTCTCCCTTTTTTCAGAATTTACCTATTGAAGATGTTCATTGAAAGACTAATCAGAAGTTGGAACCTAAACCCTCTCACGAAATAGAATTTTCCACGGGTACTTGTTGACAAGGCCCCCTCCCTTCCCCCGGATTATATATCCCTGGGTACCACCACTATGATTCTTTAATAAAACGTTTATTCTGCATTAATTTATTTTTTTTTCATATGGAGTACGTTTTAAATGTGTAGTGAAGAAATAATTTATTAAAAAGGTAAGATAAAAATATCCTTTGACCCGGAGGTATATATATTTACGGAGGCGGAAGGGGTCCATAAGTACCTGTGGGATTCTCGTGTTTGAAAATTTCTCCTTTTATTTTGTCAATTTTTTCTGGTTATGTATGTTTTCTTTTTTTTATTTTTCCCCACACCCCTCAAAAGGATACTACGTGCCTGTGGGGTATTGCCATATTAAAACTAAAATCCAGTACATACACAATTTTAAGGAATCCGTGTAATATCGAGTGTTTGGACTCTGATCTTTACCAGATATTATTATATTATTGAAAATCAAATCTCTCTCTCTCTCTCTCTCTCTCTCTCTCTCTCTACCCGTGTTTTGTAAACTAGTTTTTCGATGATATAGAGATTTTAGTGAATGGGAGTTGATTGGTGAGTCTAGCTAACCTAGGTGTTGTTGAATACTGTCGTATGTTCGACACAAAAAGAGTGAAGCATTATCAGTAAGAGTATAAAAAGGATGTTTAATTGAAATAAGATAAAAATAATAAATAAAAATAACAAAATTATTGAATTCATACAAATAACACAATCACAGCTCCTCACAAAACCAATAGTCCATAAATAGTGATTAAAGCACCAACACTAATGTTGATAAATTATTAACATTGATTAATGCACACGGAAGTCGATAGGGCTTTGACTTTTAGGAGGTAATTGTAAGCCTGGGAAGGGAGGATTTATTTTTTGTGGTACTTGCGGAGTCTCTCCTGCGATTGCGAAACCAGGCGAAGGAAAACTCTGTTTCTGTGGTTCAAGGTTTCTTTGTTGTTGTTGTTGAAGTTGTTGTGAGTTCCATGATTGTCGGTTCTGTGAGTTCCAGGCTAGTTGTTGTTGTTGTAACGGTGACTGCTGTACCTGTTGTTGTGAAAGTGCCCAGTTTGGGGGTTCTCCCCATTTTTTGGCCTCTTGAACAGGTTCTCCCCATTTTTTGGCCTCTTGAACTGGATTCCAGTTCATTCGTTCCGGACTACTTTGTACTCGGTCTTGATAGACGACTTGCTGTGGAGAATTTTGAGAGTTCACAACAGCAACTTGTTGACTAGGAGGTGGCTGTCCGCGCATACTAGACAGAGATCCCAGGGAGTGTACTTGATATGTTGGAGCGATTCGACTTACTCGCTCATCAAAATGCCCAAACTGAATTTCACTAACAGGAAGTTGCATCCTCGAAGGTCCGGCTGCTGGAGGACGGTAGGGTTGGACGACTTCGACTTGTTTTGGTCGTGGATTTGGCGTTACTGTGTATAGACTTTTTTTCATGTAATTTGGTTTAAAAGCATCAAGTAGGTTTTTAATAGTGTTTCTTTTGAAAGATTCACTAAAAGAATACGATGGATTAACTTGATTTTGAGAAATAAGTGACTTTACAATACTTTGAGCTGAGTTGTCAAGTTTTGGACGTTGTACATTGTACGTCGATTTCTTTGGAGCCGTTTGTTGTTTTTTCGTTGAAGGCCTTTGTGTAGTTTGAAGTGTTGGTCTCGGTTTTCTAGTGGAGGAAGGGGCTCTTGTTGTTGTTGTTGGCTTTTGAGTTGTGGTTGATGGAGTTGTTGTTGTTGGTACTGTTTTTATTGTTGTAACTGTTTTGGTTTCAGGTTTGCTATTCAGACTAGTTGGAGCGTTTGTCGTCTTAGGTGTTTCTGGATTCTTTGGCTTTTTTGAGTATGCTGTTCTAAAAAGTGGCAAAAGTCCACGATTAGATTTCGATTTGGTTGTCGTCGGCATAGTTGTAGGCGCATATGTAGTTGTTATTGTTGTTGGTGTTGTTGATGATAACATTTCAGTCGGAAGGCTTGTGGTAGATGAAGTTTCCTCGATGGTTGTTGTTTCTGGGGTCGTGGTTTCAGTAACTGTAGTTTCTAAGATAGTCGTTTCAGGTGCACCCGATGTTGATTTAGGCGTTTTTGAGGCTGTTGTTTCCGTGATCATTGTCTTCGCAGAAGTGGTTTTATTTACAGTTGTTTTCGAGTAATCCAGTGTGCTTGGTGTGTTAGTTTTAGCGTCCAGTTCTTTCGTTTCAGTCAAGAATTTTCTTTGAATACCTCTAGAACCAAAGTCATACGGCACCTTACCGAAAATGATATCATCGAGTGTAATAACCTCTGATTTTGTCAACTGATTAATTTTCCGGGAATCTATCGGGCTTTTTAGAACTTTGTTTATTGGAGGTTCGTTTGACTCTTTTAACGTCATCCTCTGTGCCTTTCGAAAAGCAGACGGAGTTACACTTAGGTCATTAGGAGAATCGGTTCGTACCGTCGCAGTTGTCGGTGATACCGTGCTTTCTATCACTGGATTAGAGGAGTAACTTAGTACGGGCGGTACAGGTGGCACCGGTGGTATAGCTACCTTCTTTACAATAGGTAATTTCTGTTTTATGGGTAAAGACTTGGAATCTGCTTCCGATTCTTTAATAGTTTTGCTTATAGGACTCTTTGAGTCCTGTTTTGTAGAAGAGTCCACATTCCTGAATGGCGAATCTAGTAACTCCTGTGGAACACTTGGAGGAATTGTTTCTGTTTTTATTACAGTTTCAGTCTTGGGTTTAAAAGAAGCCTCCAAATTTCCAACAGCAAGATATTTCTTTGATGGATTACTTGTAGGAGAACACGTACATTCACATTTCATTTTAGATTTTGGTACCAATGCGAAAACACACGAAATTATTACAGCTAGCAGAATTAAATTAGTTGTAAGATGTTCCATATTGTCTTTCAAGAAGTAGTTCCCTTCTACAGATAAAAAAAATTATACAAATTAGACCATTTGCATAAGAGAAAAACTATTTGCCATTCTTTGACAGGAAAACAAATGAGTTATAAGAATGATAGACGATGTCATTTTTTGTGTAATTTCGGAGTAATTACGTCTAAATGAAATTCGGGTTTCTCATAAATAAGAAAACAACATACGATAGGACTTTAAACTCGTTTTTTAATTTCATAACGTAATATGTTAATAGAAAAATTTTGGCATGAGAATAGCAAAAATGTGTTAAATAACAATTTATATGTTTATATCTTTCATAATTATATCTTCTTCCATAACTTTTTGTGAATTAAAAGTAACTTCTTAAAGAGCTAATCAGAATTTTGTTTGAAATGCATTTGATATCGTTATAGGAGAAAAAAAGCATAAAATTTCCAGAGAAAAATAAATGCTAAAAACCTTATTAAATCGTTTTATGAAAAACTAAATAAGTCAAAAAAGAAAATAATAAACAAATTATTCATGAGATTTTTTTTTCCCAAAGAGTAAAATAGAAAAAAACTCAGTCGATTAGTGATTAGGTGACGGGGAAAAAAAAGCTTACCTGTCTCGTTAGAATCCGTCTGTTCTCCTCCGATCTTAACTGTAAATGGCACTAAGACTCAATTGTACAATTTGAAATTCATAGAGAGGCCAACCGGGGCATACAAGACCCGTCAACTTGTCAGAAACAGAATAAATGATGCGCGCTGTCACGCGAAAAAAAAATTATGATATGCTGATTGTATGGAATATATGATTTTGACCTGGTCAGATAATCTGAAATATTCATTTAGTTTTGGGAAATTTAAAAAAAAGTGTTCCCCATGTTTGTTTCTCTTTTGTACATGTAAATAAGGTCACAAAGCTAGATCAGATGAATGTTGTTTTTAAACATTTATTTGAAAATGGGAGGACTTGATTTGATTTTCGTCATCTTTTGGTAAAGCAAATGAAGCCAGCTATAACTTCGTCATAGAACCACAAAGTACCTATAAAATCGAGTGAGACAAATGAATTTGAAATGAAGCCTTTTAAATCTCAGATTGATGCAAGTACGGTTTTCTACAACGTGTCATATAAAGTATCTTGTGATAAAGTGTTATGTTCGCCAGGATAAAAGTTAAAACACTTATGTGCATTAACATAAATGGACAATTACTTGTTTTAAAACTTTAATGATTGTAAGACTTTTAATTCTAAAAATGAGGTTTCGCACAAATTTGGAAAATTCTTCATAGTCTTAATTCTATACATTCTTGACTCCAGAAATTATTGGTCAACTGCCGGTTATTAGTTTGATTTGAAAATCTTTTCTTCTGAATTCGGATTTTTCGACAACGACTTTTTGGATTAATAACATTTAAAGACCACAAGATGCAAAAAAAATGGTGCAAAAGGTTTTACGGTGAAAAGATTGCAAATTACCTTGTTCTTTTCACATAATGATGAAATTTGTATTTTACGTGCTTGCATCTGTACATTAAAAAAAAGAGAACCTGTTACAAATTATATATCTATTCTGTGAAATATTATAAACGTTTACTTAAAAAAAGAATACAAGAAAAAATAAAAATACAAAGAATAGAAAAATGAAAATAGAACAAAATTTAAATAAACCGATTTCATTGGTTCTTTGGAAGAAGAGGGTTTTTTTCTCTTCTCATTTATATGTTTCTGGTATTTCATTACAAGGTTAATATTATTTACTTTAATAAATGTAAAATCATGGTCAGTGTAATTGTGATATATTAATATAT